ACTGTGGTGTGTGATCAATCTGTAGAAGTACCTGTCATTTTTTATTTGCTTCATAAACTCATTTTTACTAGTTTTAGCATGACTGCTATTGTTGCTAAAACTAATGAGTCTTTGTCTGTTCACACAATGAAGTTGAGAGTTTTACAAACTTTCTTTCAGGTTTAATTGTTCCTTAAAAAACTATTCGCATTTTTAATGATTAGTGGATCAACTAAAAGCAAAATGGATTCCACTCTAAAAATTTGATTTTAACTCTACTATTAGCAGCATGTGGAAAATGCGATGATAAACTTTGAAACTCACTGTACTTTAAATTATAGACTAAAAACATCGAAGGTAATCAAAGACAATGACAGGCATACGCGTAATTTTTATAACTCAGTCTTATCTAGTAGTTAACCTAACCTGAGACCAGCTAAGTCTACACTAAAAGTGTGACATGACAGTTATCTTTAAAAAACAAGAAAAGTTTCTTAATGACATAATACTGTTACTGTGATCTGGAAACGATGTATATTCCTTTCATTTCGGAAAAATCACAGCAAAAGCGTAGGATTGTTACATCAAATGCCATACTCAATGCAGAACAGCCAGTTCATCGACACTAGACAGTACCACCATGATAAAAGCGTATCCGTATCACACTTAAAGTGTGGCGCCATTACACTTCTGGCTAAAACTGTCTGATCAACAAAAAAAGATGCGACGCTATTACCGTAGCATCGATCCTGTATAGGAGATTAAACGTTGATAGGATTATATTACGCTGTAAGAATGACTTTTTCAAGCTTTTGCTGTATTTTTGTTTATAGTTTTTTGGTTTTGACTTTCCCTACACAGACGATGATTTTAGTGGTCATTTTTCCTCCAGCCAAGGTTATAAACTGTGCCTCATTCAATCTGACACCTGTACAAATATAAAATAAGGTGGATCTATTAACAGTCTATGAATGACTGGATGAGCTATTGACCGTCTAAAGGACTGGGCACAAAGAAGCAATTGATACTCCAAAATGCACTTATACACTGCATAAATGCGTTATCCGAAAAAAGTCGAATTATGTCTAGGTTACATAAGTTTAAGAAAAGTGAAGAATGAATAAACGTTTTGGGCATTAAAAAAGGAAAAGTAACTAAAAGACGATGAACTGATAAAAAAAAATATCCTTTTTCGATGTTAATTGACGTGAGAACTTGAAAACAAGAAATTCCTTAGTAATAGAAAATTTAAGTCTAACTTATAGCTCTAATGAATTTTTGTAACCTTTTCTTCTCACTGTTTTTTTGACAGTTGAACTCTCATGCAGGACTATTTATGTCTGAAAATCGTTAGAGTCTGAAGATAATCGTTATTTTTGATTTGATCAATTCCTGCTTTATGAATTCGAAGATGATAATTTTCTGACCTTGTTAACACGTAACTCGTTGACCTTTGAATAGAGAGATCATGTTCATATATTAATATGGGTATGCTGTCAATAGATGATGAAATCAAATTTTTAATAGGAATCGAAAAAGCAACCAAGATTTTCTCTTGTTCATCTCATTCAGTTTTTTTAGAGTTTTTGTCATTTTGAAATTAGAGTAGTTTAATTAAACAGCGATTGATCTAAACACATTACCTGTTAGGGTCCGTCTTTTCTGATATGTATGACTCCTGTTTATTAACAAATAAAAAAGTTATGCTTTAATAATAAAACTCGGTCTATTTATACGCGCAATAACCTTGAATATTCTTGCACCATAGCCTTGAATATTCTTGCGCAATAACCCATAACATTACCTTTTCTGTAACGCACAGAAATTGCATTTAAAAATTTCAATTTCTCGATGCAATATGTTAATTTAACATTTGTCCAGAGTATAACTGTAATCCTTTGTCAGTCTATATAATTTATTTTGCTGCCTTTCTGAGAGCACTCGGTTTGCTTGATATGGTGACATCACGTTCAGCTCCAAAATATGGCTATGAAAAAATCTATCAATTTACTTGTATCGTCTAACAATTACAATCCAATAACTCTACTCGCCATGTCTTTTGCGTGGATAAAATGGAATTTTATCGTTTACAATATGATTAGTAACAACATATAAATAGCTCTCTTTTTCAGCATCGAAATTGTGTAAATATTTTATTACTATGCGCTAATGTTTTTTTATTCATATCTGAAAACCATTTGTTTAGAAAGTGTTTCAGTACAGAGAAATATGGCATTTTCATGTTCACTTACGATATCCTAATAGAAAAAGTTAATTTTTAGATACTGGGATCAATCGATGCGATAAAATGAATCAGAGAAAGTTACCATCTATAATAGTACAGAAAGAATTCTTGGAGGATAGGTAGCAGCTTTCTACGAAAAATCGGCATGAGTCTTTCCACAATCATATTCTTCTTAAAGTATATAGTTTCTCTTCTTGGTTTCTGATGCGAGGTATATTATTCCGTCATTTTTTTCAATAAAAGAAAAATACTTTACACAAGAAAATCCAGAAACAAAGTGAAATGAACTCGCTTACACAAATTTAAAACTATACATACAAATGAGGAAGAAATGTAACATCAGAAATTTTCGGCTTATTTTTTGGAAAACACAACAAGAGAGAAATTTTTACATATAGGAAGACCACTGATTTGTGTGTGAATTTCTTTGGTAAATATCATCAATACAAATTTAAGTATTAATTTCATTCGATTATTTCTTGTGGCTGTTTCACTTTGTGGACGGTATATATGTAGAATATTACTTCATGCATTATGTTAAGCATTTTGATAAACGTTGCTTATTTTTATCTGATAATAGATTGTATTGACTATAATGATAATCCCACTGTTGATATCGTAATTGCCAATCACGAAATTCTTGTTTCCACAATTTTTCATCATCGGTAATGTTGGCTAAAAGAAGAAAGCATAAACGTAGATGAAATTTTAAATAGAGAAATTATAAATGGAAAAACTAGATAAATATAGCAGTTGGCTTCGGTATATCAATGTTAGCTTCACAATTTTGACTTTGCTTTCTAGGTGTACGTAAATGAATAAAGACAAGGAGAAAAGCTATATTTTGATACATTACGTCCTACTCGAAATAAATTACAAATATGAAAAACTCTACTTCTGCTTACATGTGACAATCATTAATTTTGGTATATAATCAAGCCAAAATGAACAATATTCTGCTCTATGAGCTTGACCATGTTCTGATGATTGTAAATTCGTGTTTAGTATTATATGTTCTCGTGAAGGCCATTTATATAGGCGCCAATCATTTGCCCATTTAGACTCATGACGCTGATTGGGATTACTAAAATAGATTAAAAATAAACAGTTATAGATGGACGATCCGAAATTATTTTTCGTGAAAAGTTTTTTTTTTGAGCACGAAATTAGATTGAAAGGAATATCACGATTCTCATCTTTTGGAGAACACAAAACTTTAATGATTGAACAAAGCACAGTTTTTGATTGTTTAGAGCACGAAAAATAATTTATTAGAGAACAGAGTCTCTGACGATTGAAAAGAGAATGAGTCATACAGCATCATTTCCAGAGTTGAAGTTGGTTGTCTGTATCATACTGAAGAATGAGATTTAAAGATTGAAAGTTAAAGTTGTAGCGAACGATCTAGGTATTCATGTGATCGAATACGAAAAAGCTTTTTTCACATGTACATGATATAAACAGACATTCGTACCCTCATAATATAATTATCACTGTTTTAAGCATGTCGCGAAAAACATGACATTTCGATGCTAACTTTACAAACATTGAAGCGTTAAATGAGTATTTAAAACAAAGTTCTGTATTAAAGTTTCGAACAGAGCAAATATCTAATAGAACAAAATGAATTTCTAACTGTTCATCATATAAGAGGTATCCTGATGGTGGTTGTCAAATTCGGGTGCTGGTCAACAAATTGAAGGTGATCACTGTTAGTAAATTAAGTCAACACAAGCCCGACAATTGAGTATCATTAACTCGTGCATTCAGGTTTGTACGTAATACTGTTAAAAAAACTAATGCAAAACTTTCTGAACCACAAGTGAGACTCGTATTATAAAATTAGTATCTTGATACCGTCAACAACAGTAACAAGTCTGTTGCATTATTAATTGTTTAAAAGAAAACTCTGCTTTTTTGAAAAGTACATAAGATTCTGTCTAATCATTCTTTTATAATTCGTCAAAGACTCCGTTCTCTAATAAATTATTTTCTACGCTCTTTTCAATCTAATTCCGTGCTCGATGCACGCTTTCATTATCGTATAATTAGTCACACAAAATAGGGATATATTTTATAGAAAACCGTTTTCCTTATCCGATAATTATTGATTATGTGACACTTAACAGTATTATCACTCAACGTCATACATAACGTATACAGTACAAGTATGTATATTCTTTGAAGAGATAATTAAACAACACCTATAGCGAATAATGTGTATTATAAATAATAAGGATAAGAAGTTAGTTGATCGATGACCGTCTATAACATTATAACAATCGTTTCGTATACTGTATATGAAATACAGATAGTATCTGAATATCTCTTTAGTATACTACGGTGTTTCACTCGGTCATCTTTCCAATCTTCCCGAAAGATGGCTATCTTCTAGTTCCTTTAGTTTTATACACAAGCGAAAAAAGAACATATTATTTCGAGACAGTTGTTGGAATTCATAATTTAATCATAGTTCTGAAGTAAAATCGTAGTTGTTGAATGCGCAGTTGACGTCTTTTAACATGTTATGCTGTAGAGTTTAAATGAACCGTCGAAATACAGTTGACATCTAACAGACAGATACACAGTATATATTAACAAAATGTCATTAAATACTATATTTTATGACGATTGAATGTTAACTTGCAGAAGCTGTTGTTGAATTAACACGTCATTCAAAATTATAGAACGATGATCTTTTAAAAATACTATTGGCATCTTGATCTGATATGGGTGACATTTGACATAAATTGGAACACTTGCCAAAACATATCAGAATGTTTATCTATGTGATATTATTCCAACCAGAAATAATTGGTTGTCTTCCCGTTATTTCTTCCTTCATACTAAACAATTATTAAAGTATTTGATAATAAATGCGGGATAAACGACACCTGACCTAATACTTTTGTTGTGATTAAATCTGAACACAAAAATCAGAACATCGGCGAACCAATGCGACGTTCTTTTCAAACCGTCAGCTGGTTTTTGTAAACGTCGTATCACTCAGAGGGATTAGTAATTCCCATTAAATCAAAGCCAAATCGAATCGAAAAATTTTAAAATTGAATTAGACTGAACCGAAAATTTTTTTTAAAAACCTCAAACAGAACCGAAACTGAAAATCTTTTTCAAAATAGTAAGAAGTGGAAAAATGTTACAGATTTACAGGATCTGCTTCCTAGCAGATAACATCGTTTCATTCTGAAGTAGAGATTTATATTAATATCCAGCAATAACCTAACCGTAATATAAACACAACATAATTCTGTGTTTCTGAGGATACAAACAGCAGCGACACTAAAAGGTATCCATTCGTTTTTTTATCGATCACAAAGTACTTGTTTATATTTTTGATACGAAAAATATTTGAATATATTGTTGAAAACAATGATGAAAATACAAGAGAGGCTAAAAACTATGGATCAATGACTTCGTCAATCAAAACATAATATATTTTTTTCAAAATCTTTTTTTACAAATCCTTTGAAAAAAGTTGTATAAACCGAACAGAACCAACCCACTTCTAGTATCTCAGAGACGCTCTGTTTTAAACTTACATTTTACAATTGAACTTTGCAAATTAACAAAATAAGCGAAATATCAACTAAAGATGTAATGAGTGTATTTTCTACACTACTACCCAATCCAAATTTTGATCCTTATATACGATAATAACTTATGTGGGGAAAAAAAACGTCGATTTCTAATAGCCTCCATGCCTTAATCTTTTATTTTTTTCACCTAAATATTTTTAGTGGCATCGTGCTGAACTAGACGTCTATCTAACTATCAACTTGTTTTAAATACAATAGCAGCTGTTACTGTCACATTTGTATCAAAGTTATCACCCCCGAATATATTCAGTCTATCAAATAATACTATCTTAATGATGATATGTAAATTTTTAAAAGACATCTAATATAATGAGCTTTTTGCCTGTAAATTCACTGAAAAAACAAGGAAAATTGAGTAAGTAGGAAAAGTAGATGAAAATTCTAGAAAAAAGGACAAAGTACGACAGTTTGATAGAAAAGTAGGACGTTTATAAAGTTTGATAAAATAAGCAATATTGAAGAGGCGAAAGATTATATGTCAGATGAAAAAGCTTTTCTATATCTTTTGTAATATTAAAGATTTTGGAACGACTATTACTACTCTAGTACATAATGCGTTAGAGTACTGAACGAGAGTAACTTCAAATACTACGATATGGTACACCCAATAATGAGATATCTACATATTCATCTATTATAACAGTTGTTTCAAAATCTTATTCTAATTATACAAATAATGTTCATCTGCGATTCACTGACCCTTGAATAAAAGCGTAGTTTCAATACGTGATTACTTAATAGGAAAACATTATTAATTCTAGCTCAATGAACACGTTATTATTTACTATAATACAAAACTAATCTGTACGTTACAAAAATATTTCATTGTTGAACCGGTAAAAACCAGTGCAGCAGCACTTAGATACATGTATCGGTACTGCCCGGTATCAGCTGCATTTCGACACTTATTGACACTGATTGGATACACCTGCCAAACAAGTGCAACATGATACGAAGTGCATAATGGTGGTACTACACTAAACATTTTTGGATAGAATGATCCTTAACTGAGAACGCATTTTCAACACACGGTTGCTTAATAGAACATGGGTGACAGCGATATTTTCAGATGTTATTTCATTACTCCGACCTTACTTTCACTTTTGTTCCTGCCACAGGTTCCGTTCGTTCGTTCTTGTTCTGGTAAAAGTTTCTTACACTCGATTGCGAATGTTTCTTCAGCGTCAACTTTAGTTCCGTAGAAATTCATGCAGTATATATTTTATCATGTCAATTGTTGCCAGCTCAACCGACCTCATTATCTCAATCGTGACTATACTGTCGTTTGGCTTTTAGACTAATCTGACGAATAGTAATATTGGCACATGTAAAATCTTTTCTTTCATTTGATAAATAACCGGGTTGTTTAGTGTTAATATTTCTAGCTTTGTCCACAGTCGATCGTTTTTATTCAACGTCGTGAATCATTCGATCGTGCTGTGTCGAATTTTTAAAGATAGTGTATGAACAGCAGTCTATGCTACCCATTTCTGTATATATCTGGTCACAATCAGCAATGAATCATCGCGAATTCAAACATATTTTGAAAAGATTAGCATGCAGAAGTGTTCCAATCATTAGTATAGCCCAACCGTGAAGGAAAACAATCACCGTCGTGTTAGACATGTCATGTTATTTGAATTAATGATCAGTTTTACCTCTTGTTTATTACACATATTTTGGCACTAACATCTCACATATCAGTTCTTTTACTCAGACAACTCTACGAAAAATATTTTTATCAGCACTTGAATCGCATCGGTGCACACCAGTACGAAATGATATATTTTGTTTACACAAGTGTGTGTACTGGTGCCAACTAGTAAATTTTTCTGTACTAGTGCAGTGCGGTGGGGCACAAGTGCCGATAAAAATATTTTTTGTAGCTAAATACAATGAAGAAATTTTTAAGTTTCAGACTGGTGTTCATCAGTGCCAGAAAAATCTATTATTCTTGCATCGGTGTGCACCCATGCGAACTTTCGTTTGCAATCACCGTTTTCTTTTGTCAACGTCTGCGTAATAAACACAGCAGTATATACACCTAGTATTTCTAATGTATTTTTGACTTCATTGTTTTCTTCTCATAAGAGAAGTGTCGAGGGAATGCCATATGATTATAGCATGGGAACTGATATCTATACGAGTACCGCATTTTAATTAATAAAAAACTAAGTAAATGTAATAAGAAATAATTACTGACTAAATAAATGTCAACGCCTTGTTGAGAGTTTTTTTGCAATGCTGCATTGACTTTTTTTTGTAGAGAAAGAATATCAAGTATGAACAAAAACCGTATAGAAAGAAAAGCACAGAATCTGTTAAGACATTAACAGTTCGCATTTTAGTGCCCCTGTTATGCTTGCTATTGACTTAAGCAAGGAATGATCTTCTACTTCTTCAATATTGTTCATTGTATGAAATATCAAAAATAAGATCTGATAGTATGATATACTACAGCATAAAAATAATATTTTATTAAGGACTAAATGTAGCCTTAAATGTTACAAGAATCAATCTCTCGTTGAGTCGATACCAACAAAAATCAGAACGCAGTGTAAGATTGTCGTTTATCTATTGCATTCTATTCTCCACTTAAATAGTCAAAGTGTGATTGCGATGAAAGAGTTAATAATATTTTAATGTTGAAAAAATTCAAAAAATATTTCACTAAAATATCATGATTCTGCTTAAATACATAAACTTCTTTCGGTTATTCTATGATGAAGAATGCGATGCACATGTGTAACATATGTATCTATAACATTTTTCTTTATTTCAATCCAATTAGCTTGATTATGTTCCTTTTTCTCAACGAAAAAACTTTTTTTCCCCTATTTTCATTATACATTCTAAATAAAAATTCTCATTGGTGTAGTATCCTTGCTCGATTAAATAAGAAGTTTATATTTATCATTCAACTATCATGCATGTGCAAAATTTAGGATTAGCAGTCTACATCCATTTTTAATATTATTCATTCTTTACAGAACATGTTCAATAAAAGTACTACAAAAAGACTTTTTCATTGGGAAAAAAGGAATATAATCAAGCTAATTTGATTGAAATAAAGAAAAATGATAAATATATATGTTGCACATGTGCATCGCATTCTTCATCATAGAATAATCGAGAGAAAATTATGTATTTAGCCTAAATTATAATATTTTAGCAGAAAAGAACCAATATACATACTCATCAGATTCTCCGTCGTAGAAACAACCACGTGGGTGGAAAAGTTATGAAAGTATTTTAACTTGAGCTAACTATTTTGAAAAATTTGAAAATCAATTATTGTATTATCTTTTGTTGTTGTTATGCTTATTTATACAAAACAAAGAAAATTCAAAATTCAGTTCTAACAACTTGTCGCTATTTGAATTAGTTTCAATTTAAAATTATTACCCCTAGAAAAACATCTACATTTTAACCCGTATTGTAACAACATTTCATGATCGATGATAGAGGGGAACTTTGAAAAAAAAATATCCTAATCAATCTTCGATATACTCCACATCTCTTGAAGACTTGGCTTTGATCTAACTTACTAAAACAAAGTGAGAAAAAGACTTAAACCAAATAATAGAAAAAAACATTATCTACATGCCTACAAAAATATTGTTTTATAATAAATCATCATTATTCTCAATTTGGTAAAATTTCATGCAATACGTAGATAATAGACAGTGATAATAGATGGATTCATCAAAGTTATACATACATCAATTATTGAATAAAGATTTTCTTTCATAATTGATCTATAAGTGTGCTATGTAAATAAATATATATATATATATATATATGTTTTCATTCATAACTATTCACAAAAACTGTCAACATATCAGTTCGTTTATTCGAGTTATTAAATAATTTTCTTTAATTATACAAGAATATAATATCGAAGTAATTTAGAATTTTATTTGAGCTCGGTTTTATCAGTGACAATTTGTATCTCAAACACATTCTTTATATAAAAATACGTTTTATATTTCTTTTATGAAAGTTGATGATTTTTATTAATAACATATATATAAATAGAAAATAAGTTAATTATAGAATATACTTGCCACTTTACTATGAAATAAAATAGATATGCGTAGTTTAGTAGATATCCATGATCTCACTTAACTAGCGAAAGTTATAATTTTTAATCATAATCTACTTATTAAATATTATTTCATACATTCTTTTCTAACGTGCATAACTGAACCGTAGAAGAGAAAAATAATTTATATATTAGAGATCTGAAGTGCACGTATGATTGACATTGAGCAATAAGAGATGTAGACGAAATCTCAAGTGAATCAATATCGAGAAAATAACAAACGATTCAATTACATGTGTATAAAGACAAAGTCATTCCATAGAGAAACAATAAATATGTTAACTATTTCGTTTTTCTCACCTATATTTGGCAAAATTTGTCCAATATGTCATCATCTTTTTACTAATTTGAATTTCTTCATTTGTATATTGTAATTCATCAGTCGTATTTAACGGTTCACCAAATACAAACATAATTTCATCAGCTGAAAATAAATTCGTAGTAGATAGATATAATTTAATAAAACTACTTAAATAAAGAACCTTACCATGTAATACTCCCATCCATTGATGCCACGGTGATACAGAAGCACGTATAGTAAAGTGATAAAAATATACCGGCATCTCAGCTTGGGCATACATATCAGCTAAATATACTGTTGGACAAGTGAGATGATAATCACCTAAAACAAGATAATGATACCAGAAAAAAAACTCTCTAATTTTGTTAAAAATACATTGAATGTAAAAGTGATCATAAATGTTAAACACTTCTTTAGGTTCTTTTTTAATGACAAAGCTATTAATCATTTAAAAAAAAAACGTTTTTAACGGAATAAAATCGTGCATTGGTAATTGCCCTAATTTTCTTAAGTTTATAGCATTGTTAGCTCAACGAAATTGATACTTTTCATCTATTAAATGTACAAAATTCACTTACCGACGGCCATTGACAGTTGTATAGCATTTTTGACAGTATTATTAAAATCATTCCACAATGTATACGTTTGAAGTATTGATTCTAAAACCATTGGTGATCGTTCGGTTGGATAAGTTGGTAAAAATCGAAAATATTCTTTCATTGCATGTTTAAACGTTTTATAATCGACATAAGGCCATGAATCATGCGACATGTTCCCATGTGGCATATAAATAACAAAGTACGAACCTTCGTCACTGTTCACACCGAGCAGAAGTGGACATTTTTTATAATCTTTATCATTTAACATCAATTCAGGATCATATGAAACAAAATCACCATCGATGGTTGGTACAAATGTGTAACCAATTGGGCCGCCATTAAACGATTCTAATGCCCATGTTGAACGGAAATGTATTTGATTTAGAACGGGATATTTTTGAACACATGCGAATTTATCTTGAATAGTTAACATTGGTTTTTGACAGACAAGTGGTATGGCATCGTACTCAGGATCAGTTCCACCATTTATCGGTCCATTTTGATATCGATTAAGAATATAATTTGTTAAAACGTTTAAAAATTTCTCAGTACGAAATCTGGCTACACGTGGACTTAAAACAGCCCATTTTCCACTCGCTCCACTCGATTGTAGAATAGCATTATTAAATAGATGACGAGATTTACGCGAGAGTAAATGAAGTCCAACAGAAACAGCTCCTGCTGATTCACCGAATAGAGTGATACGTTGATTATCCCCACCGAAGTATTGAATATTTTTATGAATAAATTCTAATGCGAGTAATTGATCATGGAGTCCTTGGTTACCTGGAGCATCATCAGTTCCCAAGTACATAAAACCAAGACTTTCTACACGATATTCCATCGAAGCAACAATGACATTGTTGGTAGCTGCCAAAATAGAACCATCATATAGTCGAAGAGTACTCTAAAATAAACCAGAAATATGAAATAGAATATCCGATAAAGATTAATAGAAGTTAAAACCATTGCCATTTGTTAATATATTATTCCTCTCCCCACCCTCCACCCCCCTAAGAATTGTTTAACTTCACAGACTTTTGATACATTGATTTGATTTCTATCCCTTTGTATACATAACGCTCTTCGTGAAATTGAACATATTTCTTTCTCAAAAAAGAATATGAACTGATCAAATAAAACTGCCTATATCGATGACCCGCATGAAACTGCCTATATCGATGACTCGCATGAATATGGCAGGAGTTTTTACCTGAAAATTTTATCCAAATACTGTTTCTCAAATTGTTACTTTAATAATTCATATCTATGATTAAGGTTGACAAAACGAAATTTCCGAAAAGAGAATTGTTTTTCTTCTCAATCTCTCGTACACTGTTCATAAATGAAATATAAAACTGCCAAAACTTTATTAGACGAGGAAAAAGTTAGAGAGGTTTACAATACTTACTGATCCACTGTTGAATCCGCCACCATAAATCCAGACCATAACGGCTAATGGTTCTGAGGATACCTTTTTCCCAGGAACCCAAATATTCAAATATAAACAATCTTCACTCATCGGCGTAGTTGGTGTCCATATTTTTTCTCCTGATCCATTGAAAGAATTGATAATCATTTGATAACATGAATTTGGTAATACTGTTGCATTATATATCATATTATTTGCATAATGCCATGGACGTTTTGCCACAGGTTTTTTAAAACGAAAAGAATTTTCGGGTGTTTCAGCATACGGTATACCTAAATAAGTATAGACACTTTCTGGTTCATCATTTTTTGTTGTATTCGAGTCTTTCAGATAAAAGTCAACTTTAATTCCACGCACTAGACCTAATGTTGTACATTTAATCGATGGATCTAAATGTTTTGGAATATACGTATAATCACAAAAGTTTGAATGAAACGGTGACTGTGACGCAGTTGTTTGTGCTCGAGTTGTGTTAAAAAAAGCAATTAATACTAATAGTATAACATTAACGATATAAATAATAGAAATGAGACGAATTAAATATAAACCAAACATATGATATTTATTAAATAGAATAACAACAATAGCATCATATTTACACATACATGATTAAAAGAGACAAAATAAAACAACAATGTTAATATTAATATAATTGAGAGATAATAAACAATTAGCTATGTGTGAAGAACCGCAATGGTCATCACATTAGTATCACACTACCATAATAAAATGATAAAAATAGTTCTTTTAAGTAATTTTGATAATACATTTGAACAATCTCATCTCGTCATTTTATTTATTAATATTAAAGGGAGAAAAATATTAGAATAAATCCAAAGTATTTATTCATTTTTCTTCTAGTAAAACATAAGTATTATTACCATCATTGATGTTATTCTTAAGAAAATAAGCGAAAGATAAAATGATGAGATGGAGAAGAGATCATCATCATCATTTATGTGCGTGTATGTGTATTTTTACAGTTGCAAATTGTAACAATTATTAGAAGAAGAGGAAAAGGAAAGAAAAAAGAAAAAATTGCTTTTTTTGTTCCCCTTCTCTATTCTAATATGTATAAATAGGAAACGTTTCCGAGATCGGTTTATTGATCATGAGTTGTAACGTGTTAATTTTTATTTATTTATCAGGTTTCTTTCTTTCTTCAATATCTATTATTTCTCATTTTTCGTTTGTCTCTCTTATTTAATTTAACTAACATATGTATCGAATCAAAAGATTGAATTATTACATACTAATGATTATGATGACAACATGATTAGGTGGTCTCTCTTTATTATTTATCTACAAGAGAGAGAAACTATTAAAAACTAATAAAATAAAAGTCTTCATAATCAAATTGTCACTTATTCTTTGCGAAAGAGAAAAGTTTTTCTCCACAAGAAAATTGGTAATAATTCATAAAAAAACCAGAGATTATAATATTAATGTCTATGTTGTATAGGCCGTATTACATAAGAATCTGAAGTCGGATGTAGTCACAGCATATACAGTGTGAGTAAGAGACAAAAATTTTTTAAATATCTCACGAATTTCTCTACTAAAGGGATAGTCCAATAGTCACTGATCGTGTTTCATTTCTCTGAGAATTTAAATCTTCGAAACTAACTAGAATGTTAAAGAAGAATCATTCTTCTTACATCATTGGTTTACTCTTCGCCAAACTTTTAAGGTACATAAATCCTATGGAGAAATGGATGAGCTTAACATTTTCAAGCAATATTTTTATTTATCATTTGTCGTTCTCGGGTTCGAACAAAATCTAAAAGCCAAGTTTTTCAATGATGACAATTTTGTAACCCGAAAAAACCTAAGATAATTTATTGTTTTATCCTTTTCTGGAAAAAAAATCCTGAGGAGGTTCTATTTTTTCATGAAAAGGTCATTGATAGCTGCAGCTGTCTCATTTTGTAATTTATTCTAGATTATAATATTAGATGGCTAACTCACAGCTTTCATAATTTTCTTAGAACGAAGGTAATGGTATCCTTGAACTAGTCATAGAGTTCAATACGAAAATATTTTTATCTTTCAACAGAGAAACTCGGCTCTAGACGTAGCAAGCGTTCTTTATGATAAACTCAATAAATGACGGCTAACACCAATGTGAATAAACTTTTAAACAAATTATGCAATTTAGAATTGCTAATTTTCTCGTACAAATAAGTGCACACAATTTTCCGTTGTGCTCAACAGTTGATATCAGGAAACAAATTTGCGCTGAAAAATATTTCTTAATTAATAAAATTTTTTCGTTTTCTTCCTCTTTTGTCTCTTTTAAAAATAAAAATAAATTTGCCCATTCATTCATGAACGATCTTAATGTTTGTTTTCGTTTATACGAATAATTTGATAGTTTCATTCGTCTACTTTTTCTACTACTGTTTCTTAATGCTGCTAAAATCATTTGTCTCATCTGTCGACTTGTATTCTTTTTGAAAAACATATCTGTAATTCATGTCTCGATAGTTTATATAATCGACTTCTCTAATATTTTTCTCTTTATATCAATTAATTTGTTACTATAGATTTTAGATTAATCGAGATGATCTAACAAGGTATTCTTAGTCTACATGCAATTAGAGAGGGAGGCTAATTAAACGATTTGATTGAATTCAAATATGACAATAGTTTACAAATGTGATCTATGTATTTACAACATACCATGTCGTATATTAAAACCGTAACATAGAAAATTAGCTAGAAAGAAAAGAAAAATAATAGTCTGATGTCTTTATTGACGGAACAATTATTATTGTACAATAATATCTACAAACATTTAATACATTAACATACAAAAGAACTGAATGTTTCTTACATATATTTCTATTCTATGAGATAAACTGATATAATCATATACGCAGACACATGCGATGAGTTCGACTTCTACAAAATATGAATATTTTCTACTACAAAAGGTAAATAATCTGGAACAAAAATAAATATCATACTTCGATTATTAGTTTATTTATGTGATTTTCTATCACATAGAGAAAAAGATAATTTTCACTCAACAACATCTTCACAATAAAAATAGATAGTACTAATAAACTACTCTAAACGTCTACTCATGTTTTTTTCTCTAAACTAGTGTCATTTTTTAAGAATAATAGACAATAATGAAAATAGATTTTATTGTACAAAATATACTAAAGACTTACAGCGAACCATGAAACTCGTTTTATTTAAAAAATCAAGAGAAATTTGTAGACTCGGAAGGAACTATTCTAACCAAAAGCAAATTATTTTTTCAAGTTAATAAAAAAATTATTGATTTTCTTTATCTTCTCACTTTCTTCTACCATATTTAGAATCTAGAAGTTAGTTTTCACTAAAATTTGAGAAAACAACGGTATAGTAGCGATACATTATTACGGCAAGATCCCATCAGATATAATCGTGCAATAAGCTAACATTTTAATTTTTTGTGGAAAGACAAATATCCGCTAATTGTCAGAGATCAGTGAATATTTGTGTACGGTGAAATATCGGAATTAATAAAAGAAAGAAAGAAAGATTAATTAGTCTAGTATAATTTTTATTGAAGTGTTTCGGATATGTGTTTCGAAGAAAATAAGTAAAGAGTCTTATTGACAAAAAAAAAATGGATCACTGCGTATATATTATCAATGGGAACAAAATAAAATCAATTATAACATTTTTTTTCTCGTTTTTCGTACGTTGATATTAATAAAAAGAACCGACATAAAATTTTGAGAAAAACGTCTTTCTCTTTCTCTCATAACAGTCGCGTGACAGATTTTTCAAACAACAAAAAAAAATATCGAAAAAGTGTAATAAAGTTGAATTAATCGAGATTTTCACGGTACCAATCAATTATAAGAAACTTCGTAATAGGCATAAAGTCGACAACTACATATAATATCACGTAGAAGGCATCTTTTAGAAGTAAAGTAAGGGACTGCTGTTTCAAACAAATTAAGCGTATAAATTTGTCAACAAATTCTAATTATTCTTTGTATTTCTGACAAAAAAGTAGCTTTGAGATTTAGATATGATTTTCTTTGTAGTTACTATCAGCAATGTTGATATGGTTCGAATAAATGTTGAAATGAAGAGAATCTGTTGACTGTTTGTCAATTTAATGAGAGTTAATCTGCATAAAAAATATGTCAAATATCGTTATCGTTGTTATTAACACAATCAAAACAGTAACATAATGTCCTTGTTTTTAGTCGTATATTTTGTATTGTGTGTGAATGAAAATATAATCCTTCTACACACAAAATGTTACTTTTTCTATGACAAATATTCGAGTGTAATACATTAATTGTCCTACAACACAGTTTCATCTTCAACAAAAACTTATGTTTTCACAACTCTTTTGACTTATTCTAAAAAAGTTGAGTCTAAGTAGTATATAATCTCAAAATAATTTCAATTTAACACCTCATTGCTCGTGAATATGAACTTTGTTTGATTGAAAACCACGGATACACTACTATAGTGGAATCAATAAATTGCACTTTTCATTTTTTCTTCTGCTTCATTTCTCGGACTAAGAAGAGAGAAGAAAGAAAATACTTTTTTCTATTCAAGTTAAAATGATTTTTGTTCTAAAAATCAAAATAAGCCATTATCTAATCGAACAATATATGCCATTTTTCAATTTTGTATCCAAATGAGTAAGCCTCGAAGCAATAATTATTCAGAAACATGATAGCGGTCGAAGAGAAACTAAATTAAATGCATCTTTGTAATGTATAGTTCTCTGAAAATGACAATTACAGAGAAAATCTAGTGACCATTTTATTTACTCTGATTCACAAAATCCTAGCAGAAATCTCATACTATCCTATGCCTGTAGAAAAATGAAAGAATCTTCGCATAGGATCCGATAGAATCTTATCATAGGTGATTCAGTAGTATTCCTACTATACGAACGTGTGACCTTTCGTGTAACAAATTGTACACTAGGATCCTATCAGTTCTTTACAATAGGAAATTGCAAGATTCTTATAGAATCGTACTGTAGGAAATGATAGAATTTCAACAGGGGTGGGCGAGTCCGACCATTTCCAAGTCCAAGTTCAAGTTGAGTCGACGTTCTTCATAACAGTTTCTGTACTATACAGTACGTCACACTGATAAATGACGAGTAAATAAATTTTATCCATACATTCATGCATGTTTGACAAAAACAAATTAATAAATTAGATATCAGACTATACTCATTCCATTATTGAATGTAATAGATTTTAACTTCTTTGACTTGAAATGGACTTGGTAAAAGAAACCCCAACTTCAAATCAAGTCCAAGTCCGTCAAAAAAAGCTTCAAGTTCGGACTTGGATTTGCCCACTCTGGATTTTAATGACAGTTATATCAAAGAATAACGTTCAACTACTCTTACAGAAATATCTAACGAGCAGTTTTAATGCTACTATGGATATTCATTTCAAAATACATGAAAACTTTTATTGCTTTCACTAAAAGTCTTACGATCATATCACGGCATCGAAAAATTTTAGAAGCTTGTTCGGTCAGAACCAGGGACCGTTCTGAACGCGAATGCCCGTGGGTTCCCATATGGACGCCTGCGGTATGGGCGTCCGTGGACGGAAAAAGTTTTGAGAGGATCTCTTATGAACGTTTTTGTCCGCCTATGAGCGAAAACGAAAGTTTTATTTTCCTCTTAGAGCAAGGTTCGCTCGTATTCTGTCTAAAACAAAAATTCACTCGATACTCGCAACAATAGATCGCTTAGAAGGGATATTCTTTGCAGTGGGGCTGGTAATAAGTGAATGCCGGTGCAAGACAAAAATGATGCGTAGTAAGATTTATCTTATTTTATTACGGAAAAACATTATCGTTCACGGAAATCCTTGAACAGAACGTTCGTCCGCTCCCATGGACGCGAAGGTAAAAGTTTTTTTGAGGTACCCATAGACGCCCGTGGACGCAGTTGTATCGACTTCTCTCTAATCGATTATCGCGATAACGTTAGTATCCAGGTACTTTTGAAAGGACTTTTCTCAATGTTTTTCTGAAAGGTGTTTCTAAAGTATCTTGATGTAAAAGTACATTGCGAGGCTAATTAGCAACGATATGCCACCATCGGTCGACGAGATTAGAAAGGCTGCCGCGAACAGAGAGAACTGGTCGAAGATTGTTGTCGCCTGCAAACTTCGATTGTTCGCAGCCGAACGATGATGATGATGTAAAAGTTATTGCGTACTAGATTATCGACTAGGCATCAAGGCAAGGTGTGATGATGCAAATTTTGGATGTTGTAGATGTTATGGTGGTGAACGGCGGTTTAGACTTTTTAGACCTTTAGACTGTCTTCTAGAATAGGGCACCCTAGCCGCGGGAGCGAGGGGGGGGCAGTTTGAGGGTGAGTCACCATACTCAAACTCCAAGGTGAGCACTTTTGGATGTTGACTTTTTCTAGAAGAAAGTCTAAATTGCCGTTTACCACCATAACATCAACAACATCCAAAATTTGCACCATCACACCTTCCTCGTATTGAACGACAAATAAAAGAACTACTGTAGGATGATACATTGAAAGCATAAAGAAAAATTATGATATTTATGATATCAAAAGAACTCTGATAAACAGAAAGATTTACGGCGTTGCAACTGATGATGAAGTTAACTGCTATTTATTATAGACTTGTGTTGTTAGTAGTACTGGTTTTTATTAATCGTTATTAACTGTTTCTCTGACTCTGTATTGAAATAAGATTTTTTTCGTCAAGTTGGGAACAAATGGGAGTACAATTCGCAGAAGTGTAGAATCTATCCCCGGCTGAGAATAGCGCTCGAGGAAAGGAGTAATTTTGCATAGGATATCTTTGAAATTTTTGAATTTTTTATAGAGAAAATATCTCAAAAACAATTACTCGACTTTTTTCGAAGAAATTTTTAAATCCATTGGCAGATTTTTCGTTTCTGGTACAATCTGCTCTCTTTAAAACTATGAAATTACAACCTCTATTTTCGAATCAGCAGAAACAAAGCTGAAAGGAAGCTCTGTTAACGCTCCCACATTAAAATATGACTTTTTGTTATAGCAAAGAACTCGACATAACATAAAGGCGTATCTCTAAAAGTATCGTCTCTCTTCTCTTTCTTTTAAAGTTGTTGTAAACCCAAAAAGTTACAGTTCAACGATACTTTTCTAAATTAAAAATTTGTTCTTATTTTACAAATTTAATTCTTTTCTATCCAAAGTTTATCATCTGAAACCAAAAGTAAAAACTTAGCTTAATTATTGTGAAGTTATATTACAAACAACAAAAAACAAAAAATAAAACAAATGTAAAACTTAAAATAATAATTCAGATCATCTTACGTATTGTCTATATATCAAATTTTAGATGGTAGTGTAGCGCATACAGTTCTAATTGCTGAATGTCGAGAAGATTGCAAATTTCATCGACAATAAATCGAATCGTAGTACTGACTAGTATAGAAAACACACTATATTTACAGTGATATCTGACTGTATAAAGGGCAGTGAAATACATGAGTATAAACAAAAGGCAGATCAAAAATAAGAAAAATAGAAAACTGTTGCGTAGATAATCTCAAATGAGTAATTTCCTTTATGGAAAGTGTTAGAAAAACAGAAAACTGTTCTTATTGATAAAATATTTGAATAAGGGAGATACATAAGACTATGTAGTAGAATCATAGTTTACTACAAATCTGTTGAAGAGAAAGAATGTTTACTACTGATTAGAATTAAGTCGTCGTATGCCTCGTGACATGTGTGCAAAAATACTCAGTTAGTGTATGAATAAGACTACTGAAAATTCATCCTCTCATTTCACTAGTACAAACTGTCTCGTTACTCATACTATATCATCCAACGAACGTCAATTACATACGATCAAATTTCAACGATTTCTTGTGCGACTATACCGGTCTCTTCTTCTCAGTTACTTTAGAAATTATTGTTCCATAAATGTAAGCGGTGTTATTGGACGGAATAACAGTGCTGACGTATCACATTATTAACTTGTACTCTTGTTCACTTAATAATCGGAGATTTATTATTGTAACTGTTTCCATTACAGTATTCATTTGTATACGGTTTTAAAAATCCTACTATCTGCTGCTGCTGATGGTGATGTGCTCTTTTTTTACAACATACAATTCCCAAAAATACGCATATTGTCACAAATGTTATACAAATACAAAACGTAATTGCAATAAACATAATATCGTTCTGACGTTTTTTAGCTATTAATAACGATTGACTTTGTTGTTGACGATGTTTTAGATTCAAACGATAATCATCTAAAAGATAGTCACGATCATTATGACCATCACCAATAATTAATAGCAGAATATCATGTTTCATACATGGTACATGAAATGTGTCGGAGAGAATATAGTGGATTTCATAGACACCAATAGGAGGAGGAGTAGGTAAAGATGATGATAGAGAAAGAATACCAGTAGAATCTAATTGAAAATAGGCGGATGAAGATTGTACTTGTGTAAATGTAATATTGTATTGATCAGATGCATCTTGATCAAAGGCGTTTAATTTGAACGGAAATGTTTTTAGTCGATTTCTATTAAAATATAGATATTCATCGTTAGTTAAATTTAATAATTTTGGACAATATTCATTGACATCTTTAATATTTATTTGTAGATACGTATCACTCTGTAACGAGGGTGTACCGTGATCTCGAACAGTAATAATAAACAAATGTTGACGTTGACTCTCGTAGTCTATATCGCGTGTAATTAATATATCACCACTACTCAATACAAGAAAATAAAATTCTGAATAAGGTGTCAGAGACTGTAAAGTATAAGAATATTCACCACGGCGACCTGAAACAAATAAAATGAACACAATTATGTAACTACTGTTAGCAGGTTGATTTTAACTAACTAATTTCTGAGATTTTAAAAAAAGAATTACAATTAAAATAAAACGTGACTCATTCTTTATGAATCATTCACTAAATACTTACCTTTATCAATATCATATGCTTGTACGTTACCCACTACTGTTCTAATTTGTTTGTTTTCATCAGTTACAAATGTATAGTTTTCTTGTTTAAATCGTGGCGGATGATTTTCACCTTCAATCAATATTTTGGCTCTTATTTCAGTCGAATATTTAACATCGGTAGCTCGTACAGTTATATCTGTTGATTTATCTGTTAGATTCTTTGGAATTTGATCATTCAAATACAACTGACCATTATAGGGATGAATTCGGAATAAATTTGGAAATTCTTGTTTACTAATATCATAGGAAATCAGAGCATTTTTACCCACATCATTATCTGTTGCATGTACTTGACCAATAATTGTTTGTTGAGGTGATGATTTAATATTGGTGACAAAATGATAGGTTTCATGAAGAAAATTTGGAGGATTATCATTATCATCGTCAATGACAATTGTTATAAGAAAATATGTAACATGATAGGGTAATGCTAAATCATGTGCTTTTAATTGAAGTAAAAAAGTCAATTCTAATTCACGATCTAATACATTAATAATTTCAATCTAGAACAAATGATGATGAGTAGTACATTGATAAATGTTTAATATCATTTATCTACCTTATAATAGTTCTTTCTAACTTGTTTAAGTTTAAATGCATTTCGATGTTTACTTGATATTGATTTAATTTCCATATCTAATTGTATATCACCTCCACTTCCCTTGTCTTTATCATCGACTGTCACTATTGCTAATACAGATGTATCATTTACATTTTCCATTAAATGTATTTCCGAATTGTTTTGTACAATTTCTGCGACTAAGCCTTGTTCTGTGCCTAGTCGTCTATTTTGACGAAATTCAATTGTTGGCATATTATCATTGACGTCATGAATGATGAGTAAAATTGTTAAATAGGCAGGAATTGTTGAACTCATAAGTGAACCTAAATCTTGTGCTTTAACAAGAAGTTGAAGTTGATTATCGTCGATTAAAAATGACATGAGATCGGGTGATGTTAAAGAGAGTGGTTGTAAAGCTTGAATACAACCGGTAAGATTATGAATGACGAGAAATGATGATAATTTTGATGAATCGGAACGTTCAAAACTGTACATTACTCTGCCGTTGTTACCTTCATCTGGATCATCAGCTTGCACACACATTAATTCACCTTAAATATAAATGACTTACAGTGCAGTAATTGAACGTACCAAAATGAAGTATCACTCGTACGTACCTACAAATGTTTCATTCACGTTTAAAGTCATTGAATTTGTTTTAAACTGTGGTGAATTGTCATTAATACTAAAAACAGTTAAAAATTGGATGTGAACTAATTTCATTATAAGTTTATTTCTGATGGTAAACTTACTCTAATATTTGAATACGAATTAACATTTCAGCATTTGCATGTTGTTGATCTCGATCTTTTACTATTAGCAACAATTCATATTTACTGCATTGTTCACGATCTAATTGTGTACGTATTTGTAAACATACTTCACTCGATTGTGATTGTGATTGTTCAATTGAAAATTGATTTGAACCATTTCCTTGTAACTCATAGTCAAATTGTTGATTTAAATCATCATCTTGTACAGATGGTAAACGATAGCAATGACCAATAGATATATCTTCAGGAATTTTTATTTCATAAATATTTTTTAAAAATCTATGTGGATTATCATTTAAATCGATAATAGTCAAATTAATAAGAATAACGTCTGATCGGTGAGCATGATTATGTAAACGTAATTGAACATCACATTGTTTATAACAAGAACAAAATTTTTTTACACGACAAAATAATTCTCGATCTATTGTTTGTATTAGATGTAATTCATTTTTATTTTGAATTTGAAAGTAATCGGTATAACGAGAAGATTCAATTAATTGATAATCGGTTAATGATGATGGTAATTGAATTAATAGTTTTGGTGGTGAATTTTCATATACGGATATGTGATGAATTCGATGATGAGAATGTTGTGAAATTGTTAAAGAGAAACAAATACGATAGAAAATATTTAATAAAATAAATAATAAGAACATTGTTCAACGCTTAATACTGATACATAGAGCCTAAAATGGAACAAAATCTATAATTTTTACTTATTTACTAGCAGCAAATATCTTAGAGTCTTTCTATCCAGTCCCTCTGCAATACAGAGTAGTAATCTCTAAGATGACCCTTTCTCACAAGTGACACATACTTTTGTAGTAAATCCATGAGCAGAATGAGAATGAAATTTTCTTCTAGAGGACACATTCTCACTCAAGTAAAAAAAAACAAATATTACGTTGACATATACACTACCCGATCGACTCATCAAGACCTTTCAAACGATATAATGTGCCATTATTTGAGTTAACAAAGTGAAAAAGTCAATATTTTCTTTCGCTAACTTCTTAATATTGCGCTAACTTCTTAATTTTGTCCTCCAAATTTGATTTTTCATGTATTTAACGAATATAAGATATTTTTCGTCCTCACAATTTATCGTAAAGTGATAATTATTATGTTTAATGGCTATACTATCTGTTTCAAAAAGAATCTATCCGATTGTTTTTCGAATAACTCACAACAGGAATGTGACAGTACCCTGCAGCTTTCGTTCGCATATGAGACTATCTGTGTGTCAGTAAATCGGACTCACGAGGAAACCCCTCCAACTGTCCGATCGCTTTTTTCATGAAACCTAGTGGACTATAGGTAATCGAGTGTGCTGAATCCGATATCATAGTTGTTTGTGTGTCTAGGCCTCTACAGACCGGTTTCCTGGAAAACCAGTTTTTCATAAACTCTAAAAGATAACCAAAACCTTTCTTAATGAGGCATAATTGTAGCGCACACATTTCTAATTAAAATGAGACATCTCCCAGCTCTACACGACCTTCATTTGCAAAGTTATAGGTCTTACAAGAAAAGTCCTATATGTTCATTGTCAGCTCAAAGCTACAAAAATAAGAAGAAAGTAATTGAGGGCTTTTCTTGTAAATTCTCTAACTTTGCAAAGAAAGGTCGTGTAGAGCTGGGAGATGTTTTTTCTTTTTGTTTCATTAGTTTTCTATCAAACGGTTTAAATTCTTAGGATAGGCTTTTAACAGGTTTTCCAAAATCTGCATAGCAAAAAAATAGTTTTTTGCACTTGTATTGCATAAGCGCAGGCATGGGTCGCACATGTCCGCGCACGTGTTCATCAGATCCCCCATGGCCGATAAGCTATAGCAAAATATCAACAAATTATTTAACGCTCAAGGAGTTTTTAAGAAAAACGCATTTAACAGAATCAAAACTTATTCTGCGTTTTTCTTAAGACTGCTTTTAGCTTTAGGGCTTACGCCACGTGCAGGCGAAAGCTAGTCAACTCCTAGCCATAGGTGTTTGCTGCAGAACAAAAACAGCTCTAGCTCTCTATCATTTACCTGGAATGAAAATTCTTGCACGTGGTAGACGTCTATTTTTGGCCCTTGTTGCCGTGCCCTCCCACGAACAGTTGCAAATGGCGCCAAAAAAAAATATTCCGTTCCCACACTTTGACATGGTCAACATTCCCTGAAAGTTAGTTCAGATCAGGCCTGCCTGGACTGAGATAGATTTCTGATCTGGGGAAAGGGGGCTTAAGAATGAGAAAACAAATGTTTTCACTTCTCTAGCTATCAACTTGTAGAAATTTGCCATTTCTCTGTAGTGAGTTGTTCGAAAACAATCGAGCACAATATATTTTAAGATGAATGGTTGAACAGTTCAACAGTGCTAGAGCTCTACTTTAGAGTTACGCTTTTTTTTTATAGTATCACGTAGTTCCTTGCTATCACTTGCCATGCATCAAAAATTAATTTCTTTTGTTTTCTTTTAACGTCTAGTGAATATAATAAAAGTATGGCCCAACGCACTGAAGGTATATAGCGCGAACTAAACTTTAATACTTCATAGAGAAGAACTAACGTTATTATAAAAGTTTCTTTTCCAAGCAAAATCGAGAAACTTTGTTTTTTTGCAGACCTGATAACTTTAAGGTGAGAATTGGATGAATTAGGCATTCCGGTCTGAAAGATGGATAAAACAGTTAAATCTAGATGGGAAAAGAAAAAATGATGTCACTCTTTTCCCGGTGTGGTAGAGAGCTTCCAAGAAGATTCTAAGAAGTCTCGAAAAAATTTCTTTTTTTAATTTTGACTTTAAAAGGTATTATAATTCAGCTAAATAAAAAATAGAATAAAACATCTTATCATGACGTAGATGTGAATTTTATCTAGAGATCAATAGAAGTTTTAAGTTTTATCGCTCAAATTAAGTGTTGTAATCATCGCAGAAACAAGTCGCTATTTTTCTCATTGGATCTCTATCAACGCAGGAAGAAGCTAAACTTTTTTTCTGAAGGAAGAGAGTTTGATTTAAAAGAATGAGCTAATATCATGTTATAATAAGTTCAGATTTTAAGTTTATTCGAAAGTCACTTTTTCGACACTTGAGAGAAAAGTATAATAATCAGAGTCGACATAAATGGATAATATTCTTATACTAAAACAACTGTTTCCTCATAGATTACGTGTTTACACTTGATTAGTCTAAGAGATTATGTATAAAAATGTGTATGATTCGTGCTTGAATTTACTTTATTACTAACCGATAGTTGTCGTTTCTTCACAAAAATAATGTAGACATGAAAATCCTGCCAATTAGCACCAACACAAAAAAAAAGAATAGATAGATGAGTGTTTTTTGTTTCCCCGACACTCCAGTTCTATATTAAAATATGTTTTGTAGTCCTTAAACGCTTTACTCATTATTTGTCAAGATTAATTTTTTCCGAAAAACTATTAATGTGTGGACCCTTGATTTTTAACTGGCACTCTGTACAGTCTACTTAATAAAATAAAGATCTAAGTTCCTACCCTTCGTCTGAAAAACGAAAGTAAAGATTAATCTACTCTACTCCTCTCTATACAAAATTCTTTACAAATCTTAAGAGCTCATGCAATTCTCGTGAGACAAATAACATTTTTATAAAAATAAGAATTTGATTAAAAGCTTGAAACATTCATATCACTTACGGATGTTGTTTATACTATAAACAATAATGGTCACAATCGAACAATTTGACCAAAATTCATAAATTAAACCATATCATAATGATTTTTGATGAGTTATTGGTAAAAACGAAAAAAAAAACAAGAAAAATTGAAATAATAATTCGATCTTCAAAGTTTTTCTTCTCATTTCAACATTATTACTATTATATGTTTCCTTTCTTTAGCTCTGTTTGTCCTTCTCATTGGTTTTTTTTCCTTTTTTCTATTCTATTTCCTTTCTCCTAATAAATATAGACGTCTTATAACGTTCATCTAGAAAGAGAACAATATCTGATTTTTCTCGCATCATCATTTCTCCTATCAGTAATATGATCGTCTCCTTATCGGTATGATATTTTTTCGTCTTTTTTTGGGGTTTAATAACAAAAAAATATTGATCACTGAAAATATGTTTCGTGCTAAATTGCATTCTTTT